CGCCTGCTTCGGCGAGGAACATCATCAGCACAGCCGTAGACCAGATTGTGCAGCGGGAAGCCGTCGATGACGATGTAGAGCGACCGCCAGGGGCTAGGCAACGTGCCGCGCGGGCCACGGCGACAAGTGGTGGAGCGAGATGCTCCGCTACCAACTGGAATGTAAAGCGGTGGATAAACACATGGGCTCTTTATGGTAAAGCGTTGTAAGGCGATGGTGACAGAGTCACCCGTAGAGCGGGCGCGGAGGATGGCCACCCTTAAGCTATATGCCCGCGGGAGGCCACCGCCTGCGCCCTTGCTGCCGTTCGAATCGGACGAGGAGGAAAAGGAGGAGGAAAAGGAGGAGGGAGGAGGAGGAGGAGGAGGAGGAGGAGGAGGAGGAGGAGGAGGAGGAGGAGGAGGAGGAGGAGGCGGAGGAGGCGGAGGAGGATGAGGAGAAGATGGAGTTGAGAAGAAGGACGGGGAGAGGACGAGGGAGGACGATGAGAAGGGATAGGGAGAGGAAGAGAAGGGGGAGGAGAAGGGATAGGGAGAGGGAGAGCGAGTAGAAGGGATATTCATGAGAAGGAGGCGGGGGAGTCAAGGGGAAGAGGGAGAAGAGGGAGAAGGTAGAGGATGATGAAGATGACGATGAGGCTGCTAGTGATGAAACAGTCTCCTGGGAACGGCAAATCGTGCAGCAAACAGCACAGTGATGGTGATGGTGCTTATGATTCTGATGTTGACGGCGACGGCGACGACGAGCGGGAGAACGAGGAAGGACGAGGAGGAGAAGGAGGAGGAGGAGAGGGGAAGCTGGCGCTGGCCCGCCCAACCCAGCCCTAACAACACCTATCTGCAGCAAAGATAGGCACAGGGTAGGCAGAGAAAAGTATAATTATAATGTCGCCGCCAGTGCCAGTGTCATGGCGGCGAGCCTCGTGGAATCACATACTCCGAGGTGTTCAATAAGCGTTTTTGAGTGTGGGGTGGGTGGGAATGGGCTGTTCTTCGCGGGGCGCGGGGAGGTAGGATCACTGGGGCGGGGGTCGATGCGCGTGGGGCGGCTGGGACGGGCCGTCGGGCAGGATGTTGGGGGGGCTATCAAACACGTTGGAGTACGCACTTGAGGAAATATTGAATGAAACAAGCGGCGTCATATTCAAAAGGGCAGCGGCTGGATGTAGCTTGGCCAAACATCCTCCTACCACCAGTTGACGCCAGTACTCAACGAGATCATCGGTTGCTTGTCGCGTGGCTGTCGAACGCCGACGTGGTGACCTGGTCACCAGAGGCCGAGGTGCTGTCGTTACGCCCCACGGCCAGCTCGACGAGGCCGAACCAGCCGAGGCCCAGCACCTTGATTGCGTTGTTAAGCAGGACCTTGAACGACATGAAGGTCAGTCCCTTCGATTGGCCTCGGAGGTCCCTCTGCAATTCGATTGCCTCCTCGTACAGCTTGTCAAGCTTCACCGAGGAGACGCGGTGGGATCGAGATTGGTCCACCTGCTCCAAGTCTTTGAAGAAACGGTGCAGATCTGGCCGGTTCATCAGCTTGGTACCATCCCTAGCCTTGATGCTGCACAGCATGTTAAACACCTCCTGCAGCGCGCCCTCCTGCTCCTTCATCCCCGCGGCGCCCTCTGCCGCGAGCTCCTCCGCGCTCAGCGTTCTTCCGACGTACGCGCCCTCCCACATTGGTACTCCCAGCGGCCCCAACGGCGCGGGGAACTGCGGGGCTGGGCTGGGTCTGCCACTGCCGGCACTGCCGCGGGAGTGCGCGCTGCCCCCCACCCTCGCGCCGCTCTCGCAGCTGCGGCCAGCGGCGGTTGGGCCCTGGGAGGGCCCTGCGGCAGTCCCGCCCATGTCGCCGCCCGCTCCGTGGCCGCGCCCCGGGCCTCCACCGCCTGCACTTGGGCTGTCCATTGCGGTGCCCGAGGCGTTGGGCTCGGCGCCAGCACCGGCGCCAGCGTCGGCAACGCCGTCGGCGCTGCTCGGTGCTCCCGCATCTGCTGCGCCGCGAGCCACTCCTTCCCCTGCGGCCTGGCTGCCCGCACCTCCGTTGGCAATGGCAAAGTCTGCGCCAACTCCTGCCACACCTGCGCCTCCAGCGCCAGCTGCGCCTCCACCGCCACCTGGTGCAACGCCCGTGCCTGCGCCGTCTGCGGCGGCGCTTCCGTCACCGATGGCGGCGCTCCCCACATCGCCATCTTGGCCGTGCTGGGCTGATTCGCTTGCGCTGGCTCCAGCGCCGGCGCCTGTGCCTGCGCCGCGCCCAAGAGGCACCCCGGGTCCAGGCGAACCCCCCGCGCTGTCGGTGCTGGCGCAGCTGGGTTGGGCGGACCGTCCTGCGGAATGCGCCGCGTCCGCGGGGCTGCCGGAAGGCCGCCCGCCACTCCGCAGGCCGCCGGCGGAGGTGGGGGCCGGCGCCTCGTCGGCCACACGCAAGGGTGACCCTGGGCAGGAGTGACCTTGGGTGCGCAGCTTGAGAAGGCCGCCGTGGGGGACCAGATCCAAGCGCGCCAGAAGATGCTGGGACGACCCCTGCTGGCCCGCACCAAGGGTCACCCCAGCGCAGGGTCACTCTTAACGCATGGCGGGGCCTCGGCGCCCCAGGCCTCCGAGTCCTCAGCGCCGGCGCTGGGCTTTTCGGGTGTGGCTGCGGCCGGTGGCAGCGACCAGCCCGCTGCGATGCGCTGCTCCTTTACGGCCGCGCTGTGCAGGCTGGCTGCCGCCATCCAGCTCGCGATCGCGCACCACTTCCGAGAAGCATGGATCTCAGGCACACGAGGGAAGGCCTCGTCCGCAAGGTCAGGAGATCCAACCACCTCTGCGGCACCCTCGGCGTCCATCTCGAGGTTGGCGAAGCCGAGCGGTTGGCGAAGCCGGTTGCGGAACATGCCTATGCTGGGGTGGGACCAGAGCGCAGACCGAGGGGTGCTTCTACTGGGCCAGTTCTGCCAATGCCTCCCCAGGCCCCTCTGGGGGTGCCCCCCTGCTCCTCCCCATCTCCAGGGCGCCCCCTGAGAGGGGGTGCCACCCAGCCCTCCATCTCTCATCCCCCTCCTTCACTCAAATCTTCTATCCTTCCCCATCCGAGGAACATGTTGAGGAGGATCGAGGGTAGGAGAAGCAGTAGCCGACTCCCCTGCTGACCCCCTCCTGGCAGCCCCTACCCTCCTGCTCATCCTCGTACTCTTGCTGCGGGTCGGGGGGAGGCCTTCCATGGACCCTCGCGTCGTGACCCCCCAAATGGCCCACCCCGAGGAATTCGTCCCCTCTCCCTATGGCCCCTGTTGGAACATTCTATCCCATCGTACTTTTGGCCCCCCCCCCCCCCCCCCCACCCACCCCCACCCCCACCCCCACCATCGCTCCTTCATTTACAGTTGGTCAACATACACCAGACTCATGTCTCTAGTGCTCACTTCTATTGTGCTCACTTTCATTTCAGATCTGAACGGGCAGCACATGCACGCGCATGCCGCCCAATCGCAGGCTCATGCCCATGCAAGCGCGCGAAGGCTTGAACAGCACATTCGTACATGCGCGCGCATTCAGCAGACATGGATAGACAGGCCGATGAACATCTGCAACGGCCACGAACGTATGACCGCACACAGACTCGGGGATGTACGAGGTTCAAAAGAAAGAGCCCAATCAAAACGCATTCCTGGACATCCCCCCAGACAACCCCTCCAAGATGGATGCCACACGCGTCCCACCACATTGCTGTCTTCAGCGATCGGGCAAGAGCACCATTCCCGATCAGGGATGTGTCATCAACACCACCATCACCATCACCATCACCATCACCATCACCATCACCATCACCATCATCATCATCATCATCATCATCATCATCATCATCACCATCACCATCATCACCATCATCATCGTCATCACCATCACGACCATCACCATCATCGTCATCATCATCAAGGCGATCATCATGAACATCACCGCCGTCGTCACAAACAACATCACCGTCACCATCACCATCATCATCATCATCATCATCATCATCATCGTCATCATCAACGTCATCATCACAACCGCCATCACCACCACCACCATCATGAACATCGACATCTTCAGCAATATCAGCATCATCATCATTACCAGCACCATCACCATTACCATCGCAATAACCATTGCAATCATCATCAACACCACCACCACCATCATCATCATCATCACCACCAACACCAACACCATCGCCATCAGCAACACCACCATCACCATCAATATCGTCATCATCACCATTACCATCACCACCACCACCAACATCATCACCATTACCATCAACACCATCACCATCATAACCATCACCGTCATCGTCATTATCATCACCACCACCACCCTCACTTTAACCAAAATCACCACCATTACATCCACCATCACCATCATCACCACCACCAGCATCATCATCGGCATCATCACCAGTATCAGCATCATCAGTGCCATCACCATCACCCCCCCATCGCCATCAGCATCCTCACCATCAACATCACCATCAGCATCATCAATCTCACCATCATCATCATCATCATCATCATCATCATCATCATCATCATCATCATCATCACCATCGCCATCGTCCATCAACACCACCATCATCAGCACCACCATCACCATCATCATCACCGTCATCAATGATGATCATCATCACCATCACCATCACCATCACCATCACCATCACCATCACCATCATCACCATCATCATCATCATCATCATCATCATCATCATAATTATCATCATCACCATCGCCGCCACCATCACCATCACCAGCACCATCATCAACACCTACGTCTTTGCGATCCTGAATCGTACCAGAACACCATTCCTGGGACTTCGACACCGCGAATCAACGTGACTGCTGCGCCCCGACAATCCTGAATCGCTCCAAAACGCTGGTACTTAATCTTGAGAAGCAGTGTACATCTTGCAATTTTCTAAAACTAATGTGCCCGGCGCTAAAGCCAGAACCACATTTTGAAAATGAGCCGCCCTCAATCCGTAAAGCTCTTGCAATTTTTACAACGAATGTGCGCGGCGCTAAGGCGAGAACAACATTTTGAAAACGAACCGCCCTCAATGCGTGAAGCTCTTGCTTTCACCACGAGTGTGCGCGGCGCTAGGGTGAGAACCACATTTTGAAAACCAGCCGCCCTCAATCCGTGAACATGTTGCTTTTTCTGCAACGAATGTGCGCGGCGCTAAAGCGAGAACCACCTTTCGAAAACGACCCGCCAATCCGTGAAGCCCTTGCAATTATTTCAGCGAATGTGCGCGGCGCTAAGGCGAGAGCCACATTTTGGAAGCGACCCGACCTCCATCTGTGAGACTGTTGTTATTTTCAGCATTAGGGTCATCGGTGGTGAGGGAGTCTCAGGCGAAACAAGCAGCCCGCCCTTTCGACCGGCCTCGGGGTACGACAGGGCGGAGTTATCCGTAAGGAACAAGAATGGATGATGATGATGATGATGATGATGATGATGATGATGATGATGATGATAATGATGATGATGATGATGATGAGGAGGAGGAGGAGGAGGAGGAGGAGAGGAGGAGGAGGAGGAGGAGGCGGAGGAGGCCCAAGGCAAGGCCCTGCGGGGGGGGGGGCGGCCGGTCCGTAGGCCCCTCTTTCGTAACTATCTCGGCCTCACGATAGCTGCTCTTCGCTTCCGAGGCCGCCACTGTTTTGCTCTGGGCTGCGCTGGCTGCAACCGCCTTGAGCGAGATGTAAGGCTGACGTTTCATACTATATATTCTTCTTGCTGCCGTGCAGGGCCCGCTGGAGGGGATGGCATGGCAGGTCGTGGAGGGGCGGCGCCAGACTCGGCGTGCAGGCGGCGCCGACCTCGCGGCGGTCCTCCGCAGCCTGTTCAGCTGCTGGCGCGGGAGGTGGGGGCGACGCCAAGCCTCCGCGCCGTGCGGAGTGGCGCTGCACGTGCGGCGCCCCAGCCTCGAGGAACGCGGCAGTTGCCGCCGCTGCGGGGCACTCTGGGCAGGAGCCCCCGCCAGCTGCCCCCCGCCTGCGCCTGCGCCAGGGCCCCCGAGGAGGGCGCGCGCGAACGACCGCCGGCGGCGGTGCCCCCCCGCGCGGCCGCCCGCGCCTGAGGACGCGGCGGCAGCAGCTGCCGAACAGGCGGCCGCTCTGGAGGCTTCTGCGGACCAGCTCAACAGCGCTTGCCTCGGACCCGAGGCCGCGCAGCTGTGCCGGAAGGCCGCCGAGCCGCGCAAGCGCGCGGCCGCTCCGGCGCTGGGGCGGCGCCTGGACCTCCTGGAGGCTTACGTGTCCAGAGCTGCCGCCAGGGCCTCCAAGGCGGCGGCGGCGGCAGTCGAGGCCGCGGAGGTCTCCTTGGCCGAGGCCCGCAGCAACGCGGAGGCGCTCCAGGCGGAGCTGGAGGAGAGGCAGGCCAAGCTCGCGCAGCTGCGCGCCGAGCTGCAGGCGACGCTTGGGAGCGGCACACGCGGGCGCTGCTGGAGGCCTTGAACACCACGGCGGTGGTGGACCCTGTGACGGGCAGGCCCCCGGAGAGCATAGCAGCCCCTATGGCTGCACTCTACACCTTCCTCGGGGACACGGCGGCCCGTGTTACTGCAGCGCGGCTCGACCAGGCGATCGAGGAGCTGGATGCCGGCGGCGCTGGGCAGCAGAAGACGAACGACGACGAGGACGACGAGATGAGCGACGAGGAGCTCATGGACAACCTGGACGAGGCTACCGAGGACAACGGTGCCCTCCTCGGGGTGGCCTGGCGCCTGCAGCGGACCCGGAAGCTCGGCCTCACACAGGCGGGGAAGGCCCAGCGGAAGTAATCGCGGAAGTTCTGGCGGAAGCAATCGGCCCAGATCCCAGGTTGCCGCGTGGCCCCTGGCGCCTGCGGCCGCCGCAGCCGTTGGGATGCGGAGATGGCCGGCGGCGGAGCCGCTGGGAGACGCAGATTGCCGGCGGCAGGGCCGCTAAGAAGCAGAGATTGCCGACGGCGGAGCCGCCTTGGCGCCCGATAACATGGCAGTGCGGCCGGGCAGGAATTCGGGTGCGAGAAGCGCGGCACCCGGGCCGCCTTTGCCCCCGCCCCGACTGCGCTGGGTACACGCTGGCTGCCAGAGCGGAGCACGCCGGGCGCTGCTGGCAATGCGATCGGCCTGGCGCTGGCGGCTGGTAGCAAGCTTGCGAGTCCTGCAATGCGCGCGTGCGCCGGGAGTGCGCGACGGACACTCCGGCGACCGCGCCGGCCTCGGACACCGCAGCAGCTGCGGCAGCAGCACCGGTCGGCACGGGCGCACTGGCGGCGGCCCCTGCCCCTGGCCAGCCCGCGCCGCCCTTGCCCGGCGCCGCCGCCGCAGCCGGTCCAAGACATGGATGCGGATTGCTGGGCGGCCCTGGACGGCATCGACCTCCTGGACGAGCTCACGCAAGACTGCTCCACACTCCGGGTTCGTTCCCGGAGGGGCCCGAGCGGCGGCCGCGCCGGCCATCGAAGCGGTCTGCCGAGGGGTGCTGCGCTCGGCGCCTGGCACGGTGGCGGAAGGCAGGGTGTGGAAACTCCTCCTGCTCAGGGAGCGGCTGCTCTTCGCCGCGCCGATCCGCAGCAACGCGGGCGGGCGGCGCCGGACCCCCTGAGAGGGCGCGCCTGGTCCGGCAGCGGTGCTCCCAGCTTCTTCACGGCACCTGGCAGGAGCTCCTCGAAGAAACGCGGGGGGCCGCCCGAAGCTTGGCCCCGGCTCGGCGGGAAGCAGGGGGGTATGGTGCAAACGACAAGGGTCGCCTTGCCGACCAGGTTGTGGGCCAGGCCCTTGCTGAAGAATACTCGCGGGCAGCGGCGCTCCTGGCGAGCCCCGGCCTGGCGCCGCCCAGAGAGGAAACCGCGACGAAGCTGAAGGAACTGCTT